CCAAGTTAGCTACAGAATGTCAACACACCTGTAAAGCACGACACTTTTAACCAAACTAGTTACTAAGTAGGTAACAAATTGCTGCCTTCGGTCACTACGTAAATGACCCAATTACCTCCAAAGCTAGGAGAGAAATCTACAATACCCCTTATTTGGTTAAAAAAAAAAAAAGCATATAATTCAAATATCTCCCTCTCAAACACCTATTTCTTTTTTTTTTTTCCCCTCCAATTTGAGCATCAAAACTAATGAGTTTATGAAGTAAAAATCATAACTAGGTGCGTAAAATTTGTTGATCAAATTTCTATCATCAACAGTGAAAAAGGAAAAATCTTGCGCAAATCTGAAATTCAGTAATTGTTAAGAGTAAAAGATTTATGTTGGACTATGGAATGGTTTCTAAAATTCTGTACATGAGTAGAAAACATTCTACACCAGCTCAAGGTCTACATATTTTGTTCATCCAATTGATACAATACCACCTCACTTAAATATACATGATTCAAAAGTTACAAATTGCAAAATATGAGACCACTGGATGGAAACTACTGAAAAGGACCCTTTTCTATCCTTTCACGAGTTACTTTCCATTGCACCTTTAAGAAGATTCAACCCTTCAGCCGATATACTCCTCCTTACCCGACTCTGTGGTATTTCTATACGAGATGGAGGATCAAGCGAGAAACAAATTATAATAACAGTTAAATTGTCGCATGTATTGCGCTTCAGCGCTTCCCGAACCAGCTCTCTTGAGCATCTTTCTGGATCATTGTGCAGCATCAATTCTTTCCTAGCCATCGTGACTGCAAACTGACTGCTCATAACATCCCAAAGCCCATCACAGCCCATAATCAAGAACTCATCATCTTCGGTTAACACTGTTTCTTGCAACTCAGGCTCCGAACTTAATGGACAAGCAGAGCCTTTAGGGCCCTTCATGTGCCAGTCTCCAAGGGCACGTGCTACAGATAGTTGGCCGTTAAGATAACCATCATATATGGCTCCACCAAGTTTTTCTATCCGAAGTCTTTCAGACATGCAATTAGGTTTGTGATCTTTAGATAGCTCGATTGCTCTACCCCGTTTCCCTAGCACAGCTCGACAGTCGCCTGCATTGGCGACTACCATTGTTCTACAGATTATACAATCATGTTATGCATCATCCAGTATGAGTTATTACAGAAGACACATCAGACGAAGTAAAGAGGTTCCACTGAGCCACATTTAAGGTCCTAACTACCCAAAATTACCATTACTCACTCATAGTAATCCCTATTACCCATGAACTTCCTCATCTTGATAGAATACTTTCCAAAACCAAATCAAGACGTGACATTACCTCAACAAAAAGGGAAAAAAGGGGGGGGGGGGGGGGGG